CTGTGTATGGATGTGTTTGTGTGTTTATATGTGTGTGTGTGTGTGTGTGTGTGTGTTTGTGTGTTTATATGTGTGTGTGTGTGTGTGTGTGTGTGTCCGTGTGTGTGTCTGTGTGTGTGCGTGTACGTTTGTACTATCATCATCCAGTGCCAGATCTGCGACAGACATCGACGATCATGGTTTTCCATTCATTCCTTTGCTCGGATGCTCTCAAAAAAGCTACGTTTCCCTGATCTTTCCCTGTTACCCATTTGTTTAGGTTCCCTAAGTATGTTGTTCTGGGCCTACCCCTGCCTCGCTTGCCCTCAATTTTGCCAGTGAGACCTAGATGTTCAAGACCCTTGTGTCTATTCAGGTGTCCCAAAATCTGCATTTATCTTTTCCTGACTGTTTTTAACATCGAGCGTCCCACGTGGGCTTCATCAAGCACTACCTCTTTTGATTTCTTTTCCTTCCACAATACTCCTTAGCATTCTCCTAAGAAACCATATTTCTGTTGCTTCTATTTTATTTTCATTGTCTTTAGTGACTGTCCAGCATTCACAGCCATATAGAAGGGTTGACCAAACATAGCATTTCAGAACTTTCATTTTGGTGTTCATTCAGTGTTTCTATTTTTCAGGATTGGGCGAATTTTATTGTAACTAGCCTTAGCCATTGTAATTCTCCGTCGTATTTCTGTGGAACATTTGGCACCAGATGTTATCATATATCCTAGATATTTAAACTGTTTGATCCTTCCACCTTTGCTAATGAGATTACAAAAAGGCTTTGCTGCTTTTTGGATATTGCCATGCATTCGGTTTTCTTTACATTCAACACTAATCCTTTACGTTTGTACCATAAATAGATAACACATTGTTAGGAGGCCACACCAAGTGCCACACAGTGATGCTTACTCAGTTCCTCAACAACCCCCCCCCCCCCCCTCTTTCTTTTCATCCGCAAGGCCATTTCATTTTTCACATAATGCTTCACTTCTGGAATAAATTCATCGAGAAAATGCTAGATCTATTCAAAAACAGCAGCGCTAACACAACGAACAATCAAATGAGGATTAGTTTAAAAAAAAAAAGAAAACAACAACCCCAAACTGTCATGTCAATACTGACATTCACACCAGGACAGGAACATGAATAATATTCCTGAGGCAAAGTTTTAAGATCTGACGAGTTTTTATCGGGAAAATTCAACAGGTGGCGTGGTAGTATTTCTGTCTTTCTGTTGTTGTTTTTTTGTGTGTCCCGACAACAAGGACAGGACTGTACCGATCATTTTGTTCTCATAGAGAGATAGATTTAGTTATTCGAAAATCTTGTTTCAGAAAACGGGGTCATTCTGTAAAATACTATTTTAACTCAATAAAGCTGTTCCCGTAAGTTGAGCTATAGCTAATCTGAAACTTTTTTATTATTAGAGCTTGTCATTTTATTATTATGATTTTAAATAGTCGGTGCCCACCTCTGAGAAACTGCTATTTTCGTACCGACCTCTTGAATGTCGTGTTTTCAAAAGAGGCTTTAGATCTATAGTGCAGTCAAAAATTCGTGGTGCAACTTATCCTCAAATACCTCTTTAACGGGTGAATCAATGTCATCCATATTTTGCATAGCAGTTTGTATCAATTTGTCTTAACTAAATCCTATTTTTCTAGAACAATTGTGGCTAGATTAAAATACTTTTATTCATAAATTTATATAAAATACTTGAAATCTCTGTCACACGTAAAATGGTATTGTTCACAGCATTTCCCGCTTCTCACACACATTTTGATTACGCATAATATGCAACACTTGTTACAAGAAATATTGTTATAGTGAGCACATTTTTTCTTTAATAGTTCTCAAAACATGCGTTCAACAAGCATAATGTCCCAATTAGAAAACCCTGATGGACTTGCTATTAAAAGCGATATTGCCCCAGCTCTTGTATTTTTTATAAGTATTTATCAAGGAATTTTCTAGAATACAGCTTGCAGGTGTTTACAAAAATATTAATCTGTTAAGACAAATTGATATTAGGCGCTGTTTAAAAATTGGAGAACCTATGTTTGATAGTCGAGGAGATATATGAAAATAAGCCGCACCACGAATTTTTGACCGCACTATAATTAATGCCCTTCCTCTCTGCCCATGTGATCCCCATGCACCGCCAACCGTAATGACCATATTTTAATATGGTCCACCAGAGGGCGGTATCTCCCAGGCTGACTAGCACAGTTCTATATTGTCATGTCGACATATCCTCAACTCACTGCAGAAGCCCCTGAAGTCTCTTCTATTCTTTTCTATAATAATGATAGTAATAATAACAATAATAACAATAATAACAACAACAACAACAACAATAATAATAGGCCTAATAATAATAATAACAATAACAACAACAACAATATTAATAATAACAATAATAATAATGTAGATTATTTTTACAGAGCCTACACCCTTACAGAGCTCAAGGCACTTAAAGATAAGTCCAAGTACAAAGACCGATGACTGTGATTTAATAAAAGAATATTAATTTATCCATAATAGGCAGACACTGAAAAAAATATATACATACGTATTCACAAACTTATTCAAGCACGCACACACGCACCCACTAACACACACACACACACATACACACAGACAGACAGACAGACACACACACACATACACACAATAAACACACACACACATACACACAGACACACACACACACACACACACACACACACACACACACACACACACACACATAAGAGAAAAAGATACCCCTTAACTTGTTGAACTGAACACGCACGCACGCGCTTGCAACTCCTCGAAACTGTATCACCTCGCCAAAACACACGACACAAATTACATTCCTT